CTGCCATGGAACTGACTGCTGCCAGGGCTGCAAAATCGTGAAAGAGTAACAGCTTTCTGGCAAGAAGGGAAATTTATTCTGTAAATTGCACTGTTACTACAAAAGCAAACAGCTTTTAAGTTGATGTTAAACAGTTTTATACATTTAGTGAAAAGCAGTTTTCTTTCAGTGGAAGATGTTCATTGCACAAAGGAAGCTTAGCTTCAACAAATTGAACAGCAACTGAAATTGCTGACTGAGCTGTTGCAGAGCTGAAAGCCAAGCGCCCTTCCTTGGTCCCAGCATTAGATTCTGTTCCTCCTCAACAGCAGTGTTTTATTCATAGCAGGGACTTTTCCATCTGGTTTCTGATGTTGCAGCTAATCTGTATTCGACTTTATTAATGAGGAGAAGATGTGGGAGAGATGAATGAATCTCTGTGATCAGTGAAGACTTTTCTAGGCAAAGGCGAGAACCAGTTCCTTAAAGAGGTCTGTCAGAGGAATCATTTTGAGCTTCTTCCTCCGAGTTCACCTTCCATTTGAATGGCAGCTCTTAGTTCGGAGCAGTCTGCTTTGAGAAATCGAGTTACAGTTGTCCTTATGTCCCAGTTTCAGTAACAGTGCAAAGCACCTAATATTTCCATTTGGCCGCTGAAGAGAAGCACCAAGAAAGGGTAGAGTGGGAGTAGCGGTGGGTGAGCTAAACTTTAAGTGACCTGAAGTTCCCCCTTCCTCCTCCCAGCCCTCCAAACCCTTCCCAAATTCCCAAACTGAGGAGAGAATCTGCATCGCTAATCAGGTTCAGGATGAGTCTTGTGTGCAGTTTGAAATGTTGAAAACCTTTTACAATAACTTTAAGATGTTTGCAAATAGCTTAACTATTGAGTTAAGCCATATGAGGCAGAATGACGTGTTTATATAAACTTGCTGGCTTTCTCTCTGAAGTGTCTATTTTAGTTAGGAAAGCAGAGCTGTAGTATAAGTGTATCTTTTATAGTGAAGTGGAGAACCCATGTTTTAATTGTGATTATACCAGCAGAGCTTCAGGGACCAGCAGAGCTACAAAATGCCACCCAAATGACCTAAAACATGGTGTCGGAACCAGGATTGTACTGCTCGGTGAATGTGTGTACTTTAAGACGTTAATATTAGAAACATTCAGGGCTTTTTTTCTAGCTTTGTGCCAGGCAGTTTAAAAAGAAGCAGCAGTAGCATCATCTATCTTCAAAACTCCTCGTAGTCACATCCCTGCCAGCAATCCTAAGGGTGGATGGAGAGTGCATGCAATCTTAGGTTTTCCTTGCTCTCCTTAGCCTGCCCAAATATTCTCCCTATGGCTGCAGTCCTGCAGTTTTCCTCATGCGTTTGTCTTTTTTTTAATTAGAAGGAACCATCCTCTAACAGAAGAAAAAGAAGCAACCACTTTTTAAACTAAAACTTTAGCCTAGCAGACTGTGTGTGGAACGTAAGTGGGGATGCGAAAACAGGAACACGTTCCATTTGAGCTCAGCTCTTGTGTTTGCTGAGGCTGTGCTTGCTAGGGGTTTTGAGCTTTCTGTATGAGCTCATCACTGGGGGAGGAAAGCAGTCTTCCATATGAATAATCTTATGATTCATTACTACTATGTTGGGTTTTTTTATTTTCTGTGAGCCTTTTGAGTGCCAGACTCCTCTCTTCTCCTCTACCTTTCATCTGTCTTGGACCTTATAAGGCAGGTGGGCTTATCCAGAATAGTGACTGACTTTTACCACTCTCAGTCTTACATATGCACTTATAGAACAACATAAATATATTCAACTATTTGTCAAAATTTAAATTTGTTCTCCCCCCCCCACCCCGCATTAAGTTGGCAATCACTTCTTTCGATAGCTGTGTGTTTTGGCAGATGGACTTGAAGCCAGAAATGGATGGCTTTATCCGTACCCTCCCTGTCCCACACTGAGCTCCGGTATTTGGAAAGTGTGCACTAATCTAAGCATAATGGTTCCTGGGATTTTTATAATACTTGCCCATTACAGATGGGCAAGTAAACTTTGCAGGATGCTTTTGAAGGCCTGATGGCATGGGAAAGAGACAAAGAATGCTTTCTTATCTGTTGGAACATGACTTATATTATTTCTTCCTCAATAATGCTAAAGTAATTATCTGGAAGTGTATTTGGTGATCAGAGTAAAGTGAGTGCTAAGTTAGCATCTTCTAGCACCTTTCTGTCTGTTACTGCAGCCTCGGGGACATGAGCACAAGAAGTTAGAGACGGGAAAGAGCTCAGCTCTAAACACTGAGGTCAGTGAAGACATCAGGGAAATGCAGTGAACCAGGAGAGCAAGGACTGGTGTTGAAAGACACTCTTCTGATTCGGCTGGTCTGCGTGCCTTTCAGCTGATGGTGAAGTTCATGTACAGCAGAGGAATGCGGAGGGTGCTGGGCCAGCTACTAGGAACAGTCTGTGTTAAATTCAGCATTTTGCTTGTGAAATGTGGATCAAGAAAAGAGAACTCTATTAAATGTTTTATTCAAATATTGAACTATCAAATCAGCATTTGACAGCAGTCCTAAAGATTCTTGTCTACGAAAATCTATGCCGTGATGCTTTATCTCAAAATAAATAATCATTTTAGAGTGCAGAAGTTTTGCCAAGAGAAAGTAAATGATAGGAATAATCCAATGCTGTTAAGAAAATCCTTTTATTGTGAATGAGGTTTGAAATATTCGAGGTCTAGACTTTTGTCTAGTACTTCTTGTTAATGCATAAAATGAAATGCAGCTAAAAAAGTTTAAGGCTGGTTAAGGAAAAACTTGAAATGACCCACATGATCAGCTTGTTTGTGCTTACAATTTGTGTGAATTGAGCACCAAACAGTTGTATTTTTTTTTTATCAAATAAAAGCTCACTTTCAGATTCTTATCAGTGCTTTAGCCTGTCAAGAGTGAGAAGAGTGCTCTGAATTTGAGCTTCTGGATTTGACCATCTAGACCACGGATAAGCTTGTGATCACTGATTGAGCCATCATCACTCAGTCATTCTCCATCTTTGCCATTGCTGTAATCATAGTGTGCTAGCTTGTACTCATGTTCTCAATTTTTAATAGAACTCTAAATTACTTTTTTAAATCATGCTGCTATGTGTTTGTGAATCTGAGAGCAAGAGCTCTACAAGCCACATGGCTCTGCTTCCAAGCGAGTTATCTTGGTGCGGCACCTAGGGTGTAGCCTGTGTTAAATCTGAACTCGAACACAGCAGAAACCTGTTTCACGTTCAGATCTTGTCCAAGGTCTTGTACTACAGTTGCACATTTGAGAAAAACACTGGTGCTTGCGCATGTTCTGTCCTTTCTGAACAACACAGACGGTTTCTGGGCTGGGAGTTCTGCAAAACAGTTGTGGTCCAAAATACTGTAAATAGAGAAAATAGGGTGTCTTCTCGTATATTCTTGCATGGCCCTTTTCTGCTCAGAGAACCTTTGTATCTGTCTGTGACATGCTTTTTTAGTGGGACAGCAAAACAGCTAACTACTTTCAGGGGTACTTTGGCCTTTGTATCTATCCTGTCTCCTTGGGTCTGATGAGGTCCTTGAGGTTGTGATTGTAGACATGAAGGTCCGTACATACGTTACAGCTATATTGAGGTACGTACATATTGAACTACTAGTTAGGAATAAGCTGGGATAGTTAGAGGTAGTTATTCTGCTCTGATATGGTTGCTAAATTGCTGATGAGGCTGGAATTTGTGTGACTTCTGAAAATACAGTATCTTTTCTGATCTGATCTTCAATGTTTTGCTTCCATAAGAGGTATGATCTGCCTTCTCCCCTCGCCTCGAGAATCTCTCAGGTGTTGAGCACTTCTCTGACTGCTACAGTGCCATGAAAAGGCTGATGAAAACTAATGCTATGTTCTGTCAAGAGCTTCAGTACTGAGAGTTAACAGAAACAGCTGCACACACTGCCGTAGTCTTTTCTGCGAAGAAATGGAAATACCAAATCAGGAAACTTGGCCTGATTTTTTTGTTTTGCTTTGTTTAAAGCAAGCTGTGAAGACCCCCGCTTTTGTATGTTATGAGTATGTTTTTCATTACTTAACGCATTTTTTATGAATGACAAAAGCAGTCTCTTCATCCCTCTTTTCAGTTCTCCGAATGTCAGGCTGCATTCCTTGCAAGCCAGGCCTCTCACGTGCCTTCTCTAGTGTTGCATCTGTTGGAGTGGTTGGTATGTTCAGACAATGTTGCTTACTGATAAGAAACCATTCCTTTCTATTTTTGTTTTCTGTCTGCATCTGGACATTTCCAGTAAAGACAACTTGTGTAGGGCCTCCTTTCCTTTTCTCCTAACAGTGTAAGAAAGCAGACCATGACAGAAAAACATACTCACGCCTGTGTTGAGCCTCCTTTTAACTTGAGTCTGCACCTTACCCTCCAGGTGGCTGCTGTAGATTAACTGATGAGAGCAGTAAGGTGTCCTGATGAAACTGAGGCTAATAGTAACCAAGAGAATCTTTCCTGAAGGAGATCAGGCAACTTCTAGATGGAAAGTGAGACCAAAAATGTCAGAACCAAATAGCATTTTCTTTATAATCAGATAAACTTTTTCAATGTTGAGCTTTATTGTTGAATATGTGGCGCATGGTCTTTTAAAAGTTTTGAAAGGCGCAAGGACCTTCCTGTCTTCTTGTAGAATAAACTGTGCCTGGAAAATGTAAATTGTTTAAAACTGGTACAACTCTTACTTTTTTTGTTCTTCAGTCTTTACAGAAATCTTTATAAAGTTTAGAATTTACCTAAAATTCATGGTTGGTGGTGAGGAAAACCACGATCTCTTCTATTAAATCTTGTGTCGGTTCTGACAAAAACTTTTCAGATCAAGCATCTGTAAGCAAAATGCCTAAGTGCTTACTGTTCTGTATTTATGAAAGGTGTATTTCCCTGAAGGTGACTTTAACATTGCAAATAAATAATAAAAATATGATAATTTGTTAGAAGTAATTTTACATTCTAATCTCAAATACTTCAATTTTAACAGTGAGCAGAGTATCTGCCAAGCACGAGCTGCAGTAATGGTCTATGATGATGCCAATAAGAAATGGGTACCAGCTGGTGGATCAACTGGATTCAGCAGAGTTCACATATACCATCACACAGGCAACAACACATTTAGAGTAGTGGGCAGGAAGATTCAGGATCATCAGGTAAGTGATTCTGAAACCTTAAGCTACTCTGTTGATTGCTTTTAGCACTAAATATGTTTTCAATAAAATGATGTGAACTGCAAGTAATGAATTTACTTTTTAACTGAACTAGCAAAACTATATTACAATTTCATTTCCTCTTCCCTGCCCATGCTGCTCATCACTTTGCAAACCTTCAGAGGACATTCCTTGTGCGTTCTTTACCATTCTTTCCAACATGCAGATATATAGGATAGAGGAGGAAAGGCTAATATTATTAAATTGCTACTGTGAAATTTAACTGCATCATTGGAGATGAGAATGTTTAAACTACAAAGTTCAGAAGGGGGTAATGAAATTTGTCCCCTTGTCTATTCTCGTAACCAGTTTTGGGTGGTATTGGAATTAAAGTTACTGTTTGTTTGAATGTTGTGATCTTTGTATTGGGACAATGAAATGAATGTGCACAAGGTGAAACTGGTGAAAAAACAGTAGTTTTTAAACATAATTAAAATTTCTCTTTTTTTAAATCGTAGGTGGTAATAAATTGTGCCATTCCAAAAGGGCTGAAGTACAATCAAGCTACGCAGACCTTCCACCAGTGGCGTGATGCCAGGCAGGTGTACGGTTTGAATTTTGGCAGCAAAGAAGATGCCAATGTCTTCGCAAGTGCCATGATGCATGCCTTAGAAGTATTAAATTCACAGGAAGCTGGTAAGGACATCTTACGTTTTTTCATGTATATGTTCAGGCTTCCAAAAGTTAAGTGTTTATGCAAAAAGGTGAGGTAGTTAAGTCTTGTTTCTAGCAATGCTGCTATTTTCAGCCTCTAGTCACTTAAATTATTAGGCCATTTTGTGTGACTAACTGCTGCTGCTCGGCTGTGACTTTAACTTACTGTCATCCATATAAATACAGTCCCTAACGAGCAAATCTGTTCTCATTTTTTTTCATTTCATCTGTGGTATGTAGTAACTTTCAGAATTTCAACACACATGCACATGCAATGCAAAAACCAAAACACTAGAATTTAGAACCCTCTTTCAGGCAGTAAGATAGCATTCTTGCAATGCAGAGTTTTCTAACTTGGACACCTTGGAGTCAGGAGTTACTAAAATGATCACATAGAATTTAGACAGGTGATATTTCATTCTCTGTTTCACTTGTGCTTTTCTAGAGAGGAAATGAGATAACGTACAACATTCAAATCATTGATTGAGAGTTTGTAGGTTTCAGTTCTCCAGTGGTGCCCACAATGTAGTGTAGGAGAGGCACTATCTCAGTGATCTGTGTAATGCCTCAGCACAAAGGGAGTTTTTAACTTGCACAGCTGCCAATAAACTTTTGTGTTCCTGTAACCAGATAGAATTCTTTTGTCCTCATTTAACTTTAAAATTTGCTCCTGTAACAAGAGATGCCAACTTTTTCTCTTGCATAGAAGAGAGTCTATGCATGACCTTACTAGAGGTGACTCTGCAACAGCAAGGAAGGGTGATTTTTACCAAGTGTGCCTTCTTTCTGATGCTGGCCTTATGACTTAACCTTTGAAAAAAAGCTATCTAGAAGATGAAGAATGATACATTCTGCAATGCTAATACTGTTATGTAGTGTACAAGGCAAAAAAAAAATTAAATAATAAGAAGTTCTTGCCGGTTAAAATAATTCAGTTGAGTATCCCATTCTCCTGTTTCCCAGTTGTATATTAAACTGAATATCTAAACCCCTCAATTCTCTTTTCCCTAAGGTTTTCTTGATTTAATGTACTCCAGGGATTTATTGTCTGAGCAGCCAGCACTTGAGAACACACTAGCATTGATTTGTAATCATTTGATGTAAAATCTGAATAGGTTTGTTTTATGGAAATCATCCCAGTCTTTTTGTAGTTTACGATTGCCTCTGTGTATACTGTATATGCATGTGTATATAGTAGGCATGTGTATAAATATGTATATGTGTATATATATTTTTTTCTTCATTTAATTTTGTTCCCTTCTATCATTAAAATTGAGCTACTACATGCTGAAATGACATGTACAGACATGACAGTGCTCATATTGGAATTAGTCTGCCTGTTTTATATTTTCATTTCACTGCTGATTATCATTATGACTATGCTTTACACGCAGCATATTTGAACTGACCATTTATGTTTTTATGCTCTTTGTTACCAAAATTTCTGGTAATCTAAGGTATCACTGAAGTTTGTAAAGATTCATTGGTTAAACTTGGACAAAATTGAACACAAAATGTGTTTTTTTTTGACTTCTTGGTAGTCTTAAAATGACATTCAGAAAAATTCCTCATAAAATGGTTTTAATTTTGTCCAAGCCTAACTAATGAATTAAAGATTTTTGAACAGTTCATGAAAGCATGAGAGCAGAGTATGATAACATGCCCTGGTTACTGGCTAGGGTGCCATAGCTTACCCAGTTTCTTATTAACGACTTTGAGGTGTAGATCTGACAAGGCTGTGAACAGCTTGCATAATAATATTTGAAAGAGACTGGTTGTAACATTTAGGTTCTCTGAATTGTAAGAAAACAACTTTGTTTGTTCTTCCTGTGCTTCAGTTTTGTAGTAGCAGACAAAAATCAACACATATTAGCTGTGTTACAAATGGGTGCTGGCTGCCATCAGTGTAGAAGGAAATACAGTTCTTCCCTTACCTCTGTGGATCAAGAAAGTCTGTGGCCGTCTCAGGATGAAGTTTCATATTAGCTAATAGTTTGCCTGTATCAAGGTAACAACAGATATATAGATGCTCGGATTCCCAGCAAGATGATACAAAATCAAAAATTAATGCTATCAGTATGTTAAAATACCTTCAGCGGATGATATCTGAAGATGAGTAGTTCTGCATTATTGGACAGAAGAATGCCTTTCAGATGTATGTGAAGAAACTTTTGTAAGGTTCCTTTCCAGACAAAGCTAAGTCGTCTTATCCTACTGGCATTCAAATACTCTCAGCAGCTGTTCCTTATTTTTATCAGCTGGTAGGTTTGTCAGTATGTGGTCTGCATATTATTATTTTTGACCCTTGTCACCATAAGAATTAAAAAAAGATGTATCAAATATTTCTCTGAATGTGACCATTTCTGTGCAGCTTGTGCTCCAGAAACGCCCTTAATAGGCTCTTTACTGAAGCTTAATGCGTTTCTTTTCTGGTCTCTGAATAACACAGAAATCGCAGTTAGAAATGGATCCTTGGTGTTAAATGGTGTCAATGAACTACACATGCCCTGGGACACGAACTATTTCAAATAACTGGTTTGTCTCACAGGTCCTGTTGTATTTGAAGATTGACCAAAATTTGATGTATCTGAGAACTTTACCATCATGCTCTGATATTTAACTAGTATACTAAATGCATTTGTTTAATTGAAAACAAAACTGTGCTGCTTGGCTTCTGTACAATTCAAGATTTGTGTGTTTGTAGGTCTTAAAAAGCTTCATTCTGTTTAGTCATCCATGCAGGGATTTCTGCGCTCTGTAGCTACAGAGTACCAAGGAGCTTAATGTGCAGAGCCTTTCAAAAACTCTCTTTTTCTGGCATCTCTGGCATCACCAAATATTTAAGTTGACAGGTCACTGGCTCAGAAAGTCTAGTGTTAGCTGCTCATTTTAGGAAGTATGCTTAAACTGCCTGGCACTAAACTCCTTTGTTCTTAAAACAAAATTGCCTTAAAAAAAATCTGTTAAAAGTTCTAGGGGAGGGTATGTTACCAAAGGAATTTGTGCTAATAGATAAAATGAGTACTTTATATGTTGATCTTTTTCTTCTGATTTATCTGCTAGATTTTTTTTAAACTATGAATATATGCAGTCTCACGTGGTGTCTGCCTCAGAAGTCTGTGTTTAAGGAGTATAACTTGTCTATAATAATCTATGCAAACTGCTGTGTTTCTTGTCTAAAACAGTGTTTAAAATCTCTAGCTTTAGTAAAAACAGAGAAATCTGACCTAGGTAACTTCATCTGTGATTCAAAAATTGAAGTCTTATAGTGGAAGAATCTTCCACAAACCTTTTTTTCTTCCAAGTTTTTGCATGTTGGTAATTTTTAATTAATTTTCTTAATAGTTGTATTTTGTTCATAAAAGGAAAAACAGTTTTCATCATAACCTGGCAAACTGTTCCAAATTGTCTAAAGCTGTAGATGAATTTAGAACTTTGTAGAGATTCGTAGAAACCCAAGTGACTTCTGAGGAATATTGAAGCTAATTTTGTTGACATCCTTTCGGTTTAGAAGTCAGGTGTCCGATTGCTCACATTCCACATACACACACTAACGAGTCCCTGGCTCATGTGTGTATTTGAAAAAAGCAGTTGATTTCCCCTTGCAATTGGGATCTTGGCCTGTTTTATGTGGCCATAATTTGACATTGTTTAATTTAGGATCTCCCTCTAGTGGATCTGTAAAAAAGCAAAGAATTTTGATGTGTGGAGCCATCGGGCACACAGTGACAGGTGCTTTGTCATTCTAATCAGTTCAGACCGTGGAGTAAAGTGTTTGAAGCTGTGGTTGAATAAAGACTTTAATGTGAGTGGCAGTTCTCTTAGGAAAGAGTACATATTTGTCTCAAAGGCCTCTGAAGTGATATCTGCCTTGTCAGGGAAATTGTTTGAAACATGCTTAAAATTAGTTTTTCTCTCCCTAGGTGATTTGCAGTGCTGTGACATTACCTGATCGTCATAATTTCTCTTCTGCTTGAACTCAGTTTATTTAAATCAGTATATCAGTTAAAGGGATTTTCACTTGGTTCTGCTTTAAACAAATGCATTAGCAGTGAGCTATGCAGCTAGACCCTATTTTACTGCTAGCTTGTTGAGCAGATCATAGACTGCTGGCAAATCTAGAACAGAGTTCATTCAGGACTGAATTCCTAATCATGAATTTTAAGGTTAAGTAAACCATTAAAGTTACAGATTTCTGCTTCATACTGTTTAGATATACAGCAAATGAACCCAGTCTTGGATTTAGTACTCACTTTGGAAGAGTTTGAAAGATTTTTCCCATTTCATTAAATAATAGTCTGAGATGTTCAGAAGTTACAGGAATGTGTCCCTGCTTTGAGAACTCGTTTGAAGATGATATCTGGCTTTGTCTTGTTTGGCATGGCTTGGATATTTGGTAGCTGATCTTGATGGTGTGAAGATGATGCTTTCTGTCGGGGTTTTGGCATCACAAGGAAAACTATAGGTTGAGTTCAATGTGGCAATCACAGTGACTCTAGGACGAGAGAGCAAAACCTCCAAAAAAGAAAATTAGGTACGTGAGAGTAATTTCTCTAATGTTTAAGAAAGTGGATTTTTCTTTTAAAGGAAAAGGAAAACAAGTATGAGATTTTTTAAAAATCTGTAATGTGCATTTAGGGATGATCTTCACGTTGTTGATCGCAGAAGGCAGAAGCATCAAAAGAATAACTAACTGGAAGATCTCATACACCTGAACTAAGCATGTTTTCAGCCTTTCTAATCTAATTGCATGCATGGAAGATTCATGTTCATATTTAATAGGTCTTTATTGTATGGTGGTGGTTTGAAATGCTTTGGGGATGTTCTGGATAGAAAATGACAGGAAGAACTTAGAATGAAGCGAAAGCTTGGGTTTTTAATTCTAGGTCCTGTTTATTTTGTAAATCAAATCTTGGAAACGAGCTAGAGGGTAAATTTCTTTGGAATTGTTAGCAATGCTTGAGGTTAGGCTGTTCAGTTAT